TCCACCCAGTGTGACAACCGCCCACCAGCCAGCTCCAGGGAGTGAGGACGGGCCGAGCCAGCCACACCGCCCAGGAGCCCAATCATGATGGTGGGTCCCCAACACCCGTGGCGCCTTTTCCAATGAAAGATCCTGCCCAGCCACTCCGAGACTACCACGCAGGGGTCTGGGCGCAGCTCAGGAACGGGTCTGTGACAGGCGCAGCCCGGAGACGGAACACGGTGGCCCACGCGTGCTAGAGGCCCAGCCCCACTGTAAGGGGGGCCTCAGTCCCAGAGCCGCCTGCAGAAGACGGCCCCCCCGCACCGAGCCCAGGGGACATGCCGCCCTCCATCCGTGTGAGGGTCTCCCCTGGCCTCCCACCCTCCTGGGGCCTCAGACTCCGGAGCCCAGCCCAGCTCTGCCTCTCCTGATGGGCACCAGCACTACGGGAGTGCCCTCCGGCCCTGTCCTCCGAAGCCCTCCCCTCTGAGACCTGGGGTGTGGGAGGGGCTCCCCAGAGAAGCCTGCTCAGCGGAGGTGTGGCCTCAGGAGAGCCCTTCAGGCCTGAGAGCACCTGGTGCTGCTGCCCCACAGCTCAGGGGACAGACAAGGCACCCCCTCGCCCAGAGCCCAGTCCACGAGACTCACGTCCTGGACAGGAGGGCCTGCCCGGCTCAGCCCAGCCCTGCCTCTTCCTGCAGGTCAGACCCTGCCCGATGAGCCTGGGGAGATGTCACTGCTGTCCCCACAACTCTGCCTCTGAGGGAACCCATGCCCGGGACACGCTAGGTGCGGCCTCCGGGTGCTCCACCAGCCTGTGGGAGCACTGCTCTCCCCTGGAGCCCCACACCCGCCCTTCCTCAGAAGTCACCCAGGCCCAGGCAGCTGCCACCGTGTGCTCCAGGGACCCAGTGTCCAGGGCCAGGGCAGTCCATCCGGGACCAGCCCCGCCCCAGGCAACACCCCCCCACCCCGTGTACACTCCCCTCCCGCTGGGCAGGGCAGACCTCCCGTCCCTGCAGAGAGCGAGGGGCAGCAAAGGCAGTGTGCGGTGAGCGTGCAGGCGGACTTGCTGGGGCCGGCGGTCTGGCTGCAGGGCAGGCCCACAGCTCACCTGGCCCTGGGCCACCCTGTCAGAGGGCAGCAGGGAATGGACCAGAGTCATGATGGAAGCGGTGACACTGCCTGGTCAGGTTCACAGTGCTGGGCACGGGCAGAAGCGTGCTCCAGTGGTCAGCGGCCCAACAGCCTGCTGCCCTGCGCTCAGGAGTGCTCGGCCAGCTTCACCACCTCTACAGACAGGCCCCCACGCCACCGGGGCCCGGGCCAGGGCACTCCCCGTACCCACGTCACTCCCACACTAAAAGTCCCTACTTCTGACCCAAGACCCCCCTGGGGACTCTCCTGAGAGCCTGCCAGCACCTCTCCCTGCACTCACAGCTCCTGCTCTGCCCCAGCCCGGGGCCTCTGAGAGGCGCTAAGGAGTCAGAGCGAGTGCCCCAGGCAGGGCCAACCCGCAGCAGCAGCCCAATCAGCAGCCTGGGGCTAGAAGTCCACACAGAACCAGCCCTCGAGGGGCCAGGCCTGGCTGGGAGGCCCGGGACCCAGGCTCCAGCAGGTAGCTCCCTGGCTGCGCTGGCTGCTCGGATGGTGTAGGCCTCTCCGTGCGGCCCTCCTGCTGTCCTGCTGTGAACGGCACTCAGCACATGAGCTGCAGGAGCCCTGAGCCCAGCACTCAGCCTCCTGGCTGTCTCAGCCTGCAGCTGCTGGCAGTCACCTGCCCCAAGAAGGACCACCCCCCCCCATGAGCAAGGCCTCCGTGCTCCCACCCCTTTCAGCCATAGCATCAATGGAGTCAGGGGGCACTGTGAGATGGTCACCCTGCTAGGACCATTTGCTCGTGTGCCTGCATGTGGCCCCAATACATGCTCAGAGGTGGATGAGGGATGAGGGATGAAAGCATGGGCGAATGAATGAGTGAGTGAGAGGAAGGCTCAGGGCCACTCTCTCTGCCCAAATGCCTGGCTCTTGAGGCAGAGGCACAGGGTGTGGGATGGAGGGAAGGCCATGCACGCCCCGAGAGAGCAAGAGGAGGGGAGAGCTGGGCCGCGGCGGCGCGGCTGACCTGGGAGGGGGTGGTCACGCTGATCTCAGGGACAAAGGTGTCACCAAACAGGCTGAGGATCTGCTCCTGCTTGACCTCCTTGGATGGGGTGTGTTTGGGAGGCGGAGGGACGGGTGGGCCTTTCCGGAGCTGAGTCCACAACGGGTGAGGGGCCGCGCAGGGAGCACAGGGGTTGGGGGGAGACAGACAGAGACAAAGCCAAGGTTAGTCACACACAGGCCACGGCCCCACCCAGGCAACTGGGGAAGAAGAAGCAAGGAGTCACTGCTCCCCAAGACAGACCCCAGGACCACGCCACCCTCCCAAGGGAGGGGGTCCACCACGCTGTGCAGAGAGAAAGGAGAAAAGGGAGGGAGAGAAGGAAGGCGAAGGAGGTGAGAGAAGAGAGAAGACAAAGGCAATAGCCCAGGAGGGCTCGCCAGGTGAGAGGCTGGAAGCAGCCACCCTGCAGCCTCGCCCGGCACCACTCCAGGCCCCACTGCAGAGCTCAGCTCAGCCTCCTCCTCACCTGCGGCCGGAGCAGGGCCCGGCCCGGAAGAGGCTACAGAAGGCAGTCACACCCCTGCCACCGGGATCCTCGGGCACCTCAGAGCACCCGCCTCCCAGGCGACTGTCAGGCTTCCACGCACGGCCACGCGCAAGTGCGCTCAGAGGTGGGCCCTCGTTGCCGTTACCACCGTGTCCTCATCACTGCTGGGTGGGGTGAGGCACAGGCCCAGCAGAGCTGCTGCCAGGAGTGGAGGGCGGGGACAGCCCACGGAGGGACGCTGCGCCCCCCCCCCCTTCCAACTCCAGGAAGCAGCTGCAGAAACCGCTGCAGAAAACAACTGGGAGCCGGGTGGGCAGGGGCCGCTGGACCCGCCCTGACCCCGCCCACCTCGCCCAGCCCTCCCTGGGCCTTTCACTGTCCCACACAGGAGAGAGAAGGCAAGGACAACGCGGTGGCCGCTCTGAGGACCTGGTGCTGGGGTGAGGGCCCGAGCCTGTGTCCTACATGGAAGGGAAGATGGAGGAAGGAAAGCCACCCAAAACCGAGGAGGGGAAGGGGCCACTGCCACGGGCGGGGCACAGTGAGGGGAAAGAACAGGGAGAGGCCCTGCAAGGGCCAGGCCATTGAGGTGAGCCTGGGCCAGGCAGGGCCAGAGGAGAGCTATGCCAGGCTCAGCCCTCTCTGGGCAAAGCCTCTGGCTGCAAACCTGCCCAGGCGCGGGCAGGAAACAGAACAAGGAAAGGGGGGGGCAACAGTGAGGCAGGAAGACAAGCAGGAGAGGAGACAGGCCACCGAGAGGCCACGCCTACCTGAGACGGGGACTTGGGCAGGGCAGCCCCGGGGGTGGCCGCAGCGGCCAGCTCGGGCTCATGGTTGACTCTGACCTCAGGGGTGGCCGCAGGGGAGCCATCTGGTGGCGGGGAAGGGCTCTTGTTCTCTTTTGCAGGGGCATGGTCACTGCAGAGGGAAGACAAAAGGGTGTCCAGGGGAGGGAGGTCCTAGCGCCGAAGAGGAAGTGTGCAAATCTGCAGGTGTGTGTGGAAGGGGTGTGCACGTGCGGATGCCCTGGGGTCCGTGTGCATGAGAACATGTGTGTGTGTGAGCATGGAGAGCAGTGTGTGGAAGGGGTGTGCACGTGCGGATGCCCTGGGGTCCGTGTGCATGAGAACATGTGTGTGTGTGAGCATGGAGAGCAGTGTGTGGAAGGGGTGTGCACGTGCGGATGCCCTGGGGTCCGTGTGCATGAGAACATGTGTGTGTGTGAGCATGGAGAGCAGTGTGTGGAAGGGGTGTGCACGTGCGGATGCCCTGGGGTCCGTGTGCATGAGAACACGTGTGTGTGTGAGCATGGAGAGCAGTGTGTGGAAGGGGTGTGCACGTGCGGATGCCCTGGGGTCCGTGTGCATGAGAACATGTGTGTGTGTGAGCATGGAGAGCAGTGTGTGGAAGGGGTGTGCACGTGCGGATGCCCTGGGGTCCGTGTGCATGAGAACATGTGTGTGTGTGAGCATGGAGAGCAGTGTGTGGAAGGGGTGTGCACGTGCGGATGCCCTGGGGTCCGTGTGCATGAGAACATGTGTGTGTGTGAGCATGGAGAGCAGTGTGTGGAAGGGGTGTGCACGTGCGGATGCCCTGGGGTCCGTGTGCATGAGAACATGTGTGTGTGTGAGCATGGAGAGCAGTGTGTGGAAGGGGTGTGCACGTGCGGATGCCCTGGGGTCCGTGTGCATGAGAACATGTGTGTGTGTGAGCATGGAGAGCAGTGTGTGGAAGGGGTGTGCACGTGCGGATGCCCTGGGGTCCGTGTGCATGAGAACATGTGTGTGTGTGAGCATGGAGAGCAGTGTGTGGAAGGGGTGTGCACGTGCGGATGCCCTGGGGTCCGTGTGCATGAGAACACATGTGTGTGTGAGCATGGAGAGCAGTGTGTGGACCTAGGTGTGATGAGTGTCCACATGCACTCACTGGAAACATATGATGTGCCCACGTGTGAGCTGCGTGTCCCTGTACCTGAGGACGGGCAGCAGCGCCTGGGGAGCACTGAGCCGGAGGCCTACGGTCCCCGGGGATGGGGCAGGCCCCGAGCCAGCACAGGGGCAGCCCAGTGGCCTCACAGGCCGAGCTCCCAGCAGGAGGAAGCCAAACGTCCTAGAGGCACACATCAGCTCCTCCCGCTGCCACCAAGCTGGACCCAAGGCCTCTGGCTGCCTCCCGCCCGCCCCCACTCACCCCAACGCCTGGCTCCCCGCCCACACTGTGCCTTCTGCCCACATCACACCACACCATCACTGTCTCCAAACCTTTGCTCCCAGGGGCCCTTCCAGGAAGACCTGGGACACCACCCAGAGGCCATGGGCGGTGGGAGACAGAGGGATGCCCCACAGCCCAGGAGTGGGAGAGACGGTGAGGTCTCTAAGCCACATGGTTCGGCACCGAGAACCAGGCAGCTGTGTACAGGCCTCCGCGTGGGGGCAGAGGGCCGAGGGCAAACCCTGTGCATGCTCAGATGCACTGAGACAGGGCTGACCGAGACCAGTCACTAGCCAGGGGGCAGTGTACATCCACATTCAAGTGGAATCAATGTTAGAACCCAGCTCCTCAGGCCTCTGGCCGGCCCTGCAGTGTGTGGCCGCCTCGCAGGGCGGCTCTAGAAGGGCACAGAGAAACGCGTCACCTGGGAGGGGCCTGGGTGGCGGACAGCCTGACACTGCTGGCACTTTCCCCATTAGTGAGTGAGTGTCCTGGGAGGAGCTGCTCCTTGAAGAACAGATGTGAGGACAGAGGCAGGCGTACACCCCTTTAGCACTGCCCTGCCTGCGCCTCCCAGCCCCGTTCTGGTCACTGGCCACTGTTAACGGTTGGGTCTGGCCCGGCCAATGCACACACGGCTCAGGCTGCCTGCCCGCCATCCCCCTGCCCTCCGCCCTGTGCCCGCCGCACGCCTCACAGCACAGCGCGCTCCGGCCCCACTGGCAGCACCACACGGAGGGCAGGTTAGGGGTTAGTGGCGCCCTCGGAGCAGGCAGGAGGCATGCACGGGCCCAGCGGTGCCGGCCGCGGCCCCACAGCACGCAGTGCGGTACCTGGGCTTCTTTCTGCGCAGCCGAGAGAACAGCTTAGCTTTCTTTCTGTGGGAACGGACAGGACGGGACGGAGGCCTTCACCGGGGGAAATGTGGGAGGCGGGGCTGGCCTGTCCTCACCCCTCATCAGAGCCACTAACATGGGGGCTGGGCAGAAAGCAAAGTCTCCCCTAACACCCTGGGGCCATGAGAGGCCTGGCTGCCATGGTCCATTCCCCGGCCGGGATGGTGCTGACTGAACAAGCGGAGCCTGGTGAGTGGTGGGCACTCGGCTGGGCAGCACAGAGCTCCGGGGCCCAGAGTCTGGAAGGGGTGGGCTCGGCGGCCAGGGCGGCGCTGGGCCAGGTGAGCAGGCCTCCTGTAGGAAGCAGCTCAAGCCTCCAGCCCTCCCTTCCCCTCCAGTGACAGGATGGTGACCAGAATGGCCACTGCCCGCCCCGCCCCACTCAACCTGGTCACTGCACCTCGGCCAGCAGTGCAGTAGGGGTGTGGGTCCTCCCTGCAGGCACCTGGGAAGTCGCCCTTGGCCTTTATCCCACGGCCACTCCACCCGGCGCTCCTCAGCCCAGGGCACATTTATATTATTTTCAGAGAAGAGGGGCAGTAGTATTCCCTGAATACCTCCGTAGTCCGAGGTAACCCCGATCACCCAAGAAGCAGTCAGTCACCCCTCCTACAGACGAGGAAAGCGAGGCTCCTGTGGTCCCCACTCTGGGGGGTGATGACTGGGCAGGAAGGAAACTCCAGACGCACTGCTGCTTCCCACGGGCCACGGAGGGAAGACCTCTCTCTGCCCCTCCTCGCTCGCACGTGCCCCTCAGGGAACGGGTCTCCGTGGAGGCGGTGCGGCCGGAACAAGGCCACTGGCCGGGGTGCAGAATGCCAGCCTGGGGACTCGGCTTCCCGGGAGCAGGGGGCAGGGAGGGCGCCACCCACTCTAAGAGGACTGCTCGCTTCCCAGAAGCCCCACACCTGGGGGTCAGTCCCGGTCCCCCCGCCCCACGGGCACAGCCCCGGCCGCCTGCCCCACAGATGAGGATGCGGGCCAGGCTCAGGTGGTGAGTAGACTGCCCTGCGAGGGCGCCTCCCCATGGGAGCACGGGATTGGCAGTGCCCTCACCGGGAAGGCCCAACCCGGGTGACCACGGCAGCGGCCCTGCCCCAGCCTTGCCCATGCCCTCCCCCACCAGCAGCAGAGAACGCGCACCTGGGCTGGGCCTTGACCGTGAAGGTGTTGCTCCCGTGCTGCTTCTCCAGGCTGACCAGCACATCGTTGAGGCTCTGGTTGAGCTGCAGAGGGAGAGCACAGGTAGGGGAGTCTCTGGAGCCACCAAACAGCCACTCTCCCAACTCCATCTTACCTCTCCCTCTGAACCCCTTCCCCCGCACCCATCCCTGCGGAAACAGCTCTGCCCCCCCCCATCAGGGGGAGCTGCAAACCCACACCCCAAACCAGGAAGCCAAGGGGCGAGGTGGAGGCAGTGGCTGACCTGCCACAGCCATTGTTTCCAGGGACCATCTTTTCTTTTCTTTCTACTCGTAGAGATTCCTCAAAGCTGGTCCTGCTTTAAAACGTCTACGCTGTTCTTGCAAACTAACTGGGGGTCTGAACTGTGAGGTCTTCTTGCCCAGATGCTTCCAGGCCACGCCCCTGCCAGGGAGGTCCCCACGGCACAGGCAGGTCGCCCTGGGCACCGGGCACCGAGTCTCACTACTGAGAATCGTCCTCTGTTCTGGCTGATAGGAAGCTCAGGGATTCGTCTCCCTCCCACTCTACATACACGTCTTCTCCCCAACCCACCGCTCTCTGTGCTTCCATCTCCTCAGCTGTCTCGGGTCTCGGAAGGGAAAAGGGAAAGCAGGCAGACAGGGATGGCCCCACGGCGGGAGTCCCACTTAGCGTGCTGCTCCCTCTGGCCGGGCTGGGCCACAGCAGCCCTTCCCTCCTCCAGGCCCAGAGCCTGAGAGGCCCGCTCCGGGCACAGCGGGAGGAGGCCGCCTGGCGGGTCTCCCTCAGCGCTGCCCTCTAACTCCTGGTTAAACTAACGTGAAAATAACACAATGGGAATGGAGGCCAATCAGACCCATTCTCACCCCAGTTCAGGCAGACAAAACAGTCCTGGTTCAATATCTAAGACACGTGAAAGGATGTTAAAAACTGAGAAGGTTCTCACAATTTATTTATTTGCCTACACCCTGGGAAGCCACCACCGTCTGACACAGCTCCCTGGGCCAAAGCTGCCTGCGAACAGGTGACAGAGTGGGCAGGGCTGGCTCTGCAGGGACGGGAGAGGAGCAGGGACGGAGCGGAGCAGGCTCCTCCGCCCACAGCCCCCAGCACCACACGAGTCCCATGCGCAGGGCAGCTCCTCCCAGGGCCAGCGGGGCTGTGCAGGACCTCCGCAGGGCAGGGTGGCGGGGGCAGCCTGTCCTCCGCGGGCCCTGGCGGCACGCCCACCCACCTTACTCATCTCCCTGTGGAAGTTCTCCTCCAGGCCTGCGATGCTCTGAAACGTGTTGACGTAGAAACCTACACGGCTGCAGTGGGAGGGAGGAGACAAAACCAACACGCAGGTCAGGGTGGGCAACCAGGAAAGCGCGGACGGCTGCCCACTCCACCCTCACCTGAGGCACGGGCCCGAGGGCGCACCCCGACGGGCACAGCTGTGCAGCGCGGAAGGAGGGGGGCCGCACCCCTCCCCCTCACCTGTTCCACAGGGACGGGAGCTCCTCCTGCAGGTCCACGTTCATCTCCTCGAACACCTTCTGCGCTTTGAGGAGCTCCTCCTCGGCCTGCAGGAGGACAGTCGTTGCTTCCGCCACCCACCCCAGCCAGCGAGGCCAGGCCAGGCCACCCCAGACCTGCTCTCCAACCTCCCGCCCAGGGAGCTCAGATAGGGCTCTGGGCAAGGGGGGTGGGACCGGGCAGCCCGACCCTCGCCGCCCCCAGGACCCAGTGCCAGGCCCTCTGAGGCTCGGCGTCAGCCTGCTGCCCAGCTCTCTGGGCCCTGCTGTCCCCTCACAGGATCCCTTGCCCCCTTTCCCAAGGCTCCTCTACTCAGTCTCTGTCCCCAGCCTCCCCAACAGTCTTTCCCAGCCCCCCACCCCTACATCCTCTCCGCTGTCACCTGTGCACCCAGATGGAGGGCAGGGCCCGGGAGCACGGAGCTGGGCAGCGGGCAGGGTGCCTGAGCCTGCTCCGAGCCCCCACCTGCCCTGGGCACACGGTGCCCTCCACCTTTGCACCCCGCAGTGGTGCTGGGCCCCAGGCAGAGCTGAATGGGGGAATGCAGCAGCAGTGCCCCGAAGGTGCAGGGCCGTCACCAGACCCTGCCTGGAGGGCTCTGCCAGCTCTCCTGGAGGCACTGCTGGAAACAGTGACTCGGGTGACCGGGATGCGGTCTGAGTCACCGCCCAGGAGCGGGGCAGGCTCCACCCAGGCCCACTTCCCGCAGCAGCCCGTTCTCAGGCCTTTGACAAAGGCAGCATCTGGCTCTAATGCCGCATCAGGACAAAGCACCAGGGCCCCGAGCCCACAGGCCGGCCCGCCCACCTCGGGCACCAGGACCAGCCCACGCCGGCCCTACAGCACTGTGCCCAGGCTGAGCCCCGTGGCTGGGGGTGAGTGGGAGGGGAGAGGGGCCGCCATCTCTCCTGACTACAAGTCCCTTTAGGCTACTGGAACTTGCTCAAGTAAGCGTGCTCTGGCCCAAGCTTTAAAAACTGAATTTAACAATTAAAGGTAGAAAGGGAGGGAAAAAAAACGCATGCCCAGCTGCTCCTGGACGGAGCGGCTCTGGCCTGGCAGCCTGTGCTGCCTGGGCTGCTGAAGATGGTCTGTGAAACCGCAACACGAGTGGCCCCCACCCCGGGCGTGAGCCTCTCTCGCGACAACCAGGAGTCTGGCTCTAGGCCCATCCCGGACGCCGGCCTTGACCCACCCAGCTTCTGGGCCTCCACCCCACCAGGATGGCCCTAACTCCCCAATGAACAGTCGTGACCAGGACGATGGCCACGGCACAGATCTCGGCCGTGTGCGGCACGCCCGCGTTCCAGCAGTACTGTAGTGACCCGCGTGCTCCATTTAATTCCCGAGGTCAGGGCCTCAGCCTTGTTCACGGCGTCACCTCCATCGCCTGGATCTCTGAGTGGCAGGGGTGCAGGGAGCTACCCGCTGTGGGGCGGGCTTGCAGCCCAGTGGCTCTGCCACGTGCTGACCAATGGACATGCGCAGCGGACCCAGAACGGGCTGGCTTGCCACGCGCCAGGGCACCAGGGCCCTGCAGGCAGGTATCGGGGGACTGGCAAGTGTGAAGAGCTCAGACGAGCCTGGACACACCTGGAGCTGGTCAGCTCGAGAGCGCACAGCCCCACCGGGTTGCACTGTTTCCGCAAAGTCGGGGCAGCCCTCGGGGCAGCCTCAGGCCCCAGGTACCCAGCTCACAGGCAGCCAGCCGCCCGCGGGACCCCCAGGCTGCCCCACCCAATAGGCGTGAGGCAGGGGGAGAGCCAAAGGAAGAATGCTCAATCCAAACGGAAAGCCAGTTTGGCTGCGGGCGAAACATGTGCATCCAACATCCAAGATGACATCACGGGCTTCAGCGTCCCCTGCTGCACCCCAAGGGCCGGGCGTGGGCCCTCCCAGCAGGATCTCCAACCACACCCATCCCAGGAGCCCCAAAGCTGCCACAGGCCGCACCCCAGGCCCCACAGTCTTAGGGACACTCCTACCCACAAAAACGTTCTCCTGGCCTCCGGCAGACCCGCCTCAGGACAATGACATAGAAACCATGTCACTGGGCCCGGGGCCCCAGCCCTCTGGCCAGAGCCCATGCTCTGCAAAGGCCCGCTCGCCCCCCACCCCCCACCCCCGCACCCTACAGCAGAGGAGGCACGCCTGTCCCAGACGCCGGGGCCTCCCTCAGACCCTGGGGTCCCTGGGCACCCTCCCGCCAGCTCAGCCCACAGCTCTGGCCGAGAAGAAATCAGGCAGCAGGTCAAGTCAGAAGAGGGCCACCAGCCATGCTGACCCGGCGCCCGCCACACAGAGGCATCCGGTCCATGTGGCCGGGCGATGGAGTCAGGAGGCGGCCCAGCAAAACAGGCAGCTGCCCAGAGAGAAACCCAATCTCCTGGGCTGGGACTGTCGCCTGCCCCCACCCCAAGACCACGGGGGGTTCAGGTTCCAGGTCACGTCAGTTTCTCTGGAGAGAAAACTAGAAGGCCACCTCTCCCAGGGCCCTGCACCCAGCGGCCCGGCACACGCACCCGCCCGAGAGGAGGGCAGTACTGCTGGCCGTAGCTTCCCTCCTTCAGGAGGCCCCCGGGACCACCGTGTGCAGACCGCCCCCCGGAGACCCCCCAAGGGCCGCCCCAGGCCTCAGCATACCAGCCTGGCGCAAGAGCGCTCCGTGTCCCTTCCAGGGGCTCTATGGGGCCCACACTTCCCAAGGGCCCCCATGAGTCTGTGGCAGGACCGCCCACATGGAGCCTGGGCCAGGGCACGGAGCCCTGAAGTCCTGTGAGCCCCAACTCAGCCAGGATGCGGCTCTGGGACCCGGGCCAGGAGACTGTGCCCCTCAGTCTTTCTCCTCAGACAATGCAGGACCCCCCCTCATTGCCGAGGCCCGAAGGCCAGCACGTGCCAGGCCAGAGCCCTGGTGCCAGCAGCCCCTCCCTGCAGGAGCCTCAGAAGACAAAGGGCTCCAGGCCTCCTGGCCTTCTGGACGCTAGGGTGTCCGTGTCAGGACCGCCAGAGCCCCAGAGCCCCCAGTCTCTGTCCCTGCTGGACCCCAGGGCTGGACTGCGGGGGGAGTTCCCAGCACAGGCCTCTGAGACCAGACCTGCCTCCAGCCTGGGAGAGGCC